TCGTTACTACTCACCAAACACCTGCAATGTACAAGAATTCTGCAAAGTGTATATTATCTCTGTGAGTACTTGTTTGCTCTGCTCTGTGGGGAGACTGAGACAGGGGTGGGGAGAGACTTGTCAAGACAGTACTGATGTCATGTTCTTTCCACTGTGCAGTGCAGCCTCTGTAATGTTTTATCTCTTGTCCCAGAAGACAGAAATGTCTGATTTTCTTATATGGTTAAGTATCATTTTTGGAAAATCATAAAAATTCAGATTGCTTGTATTTATCCCTGCAACTACATCTGATTAAAAAGGGAGATAAGGGAGATGAATCAGTTATCTCTTATAAACAGAATCCTCAGAAGTCTTGGTTAATAAGTATTTTTTATTGTGAAGGAAAACCAACCATTTTTTTTAAAACTATAAATTATATGTGCTTAATTTTTCAGAAGAGAAAAGGTATTTTTTTTTAAAGCCCTAGAGTGGTGCGGCCGAGCTCTAGAGGGTCTTTTGTGTTAGTTCTTCCCTTCAGATTCTAATACCTTTAGAAGCACTAAGCACATCCCTCATTTTTGCGTGAGAGTTACATGGATGCGTCTGCTTTCCTCTTAGCATCTATGATATGCCTTACAAAGAAAAACAACATTTTTTCCCTTTTAAACTTGGAAAACAGTGAGGAATAGAGAGATCTGAATGCCATGCCTACAGGGAAGGACCTAAACCACAGATGGGCAGCATGGACTGGCTTGGTATTTGAGAACCAACAGAGAAGGGTGTCAGAAGGTGGGACAATGGATCTGACAAGAAGTTGGGAAAGTGTCAAAGTGAAATTTCTCAACTTCCATTTCCCCCCTAATAACTAATCTTGGCCAATGTGCCCCCAAATCCTTATACAGCACAGATATGGTTTAAAGTTCTGACAACCAGACACTGCATAGAGGCATGGTGATGTGTCTTTCAGTATAATTTCAAACACTAAACCTCTGTCATTTGACTCACATAAATCCTCTGTTTTCACCTGCACAACCCAGGATGATTACAACCTGGATTGTTCCCATAGAACTTGGGTAAAAACCTTCTTTCCTAAAATGACAGGTACATCCGCATCAAGGCCATCACGGCCACCTCTTAGCCTGCAGATACCTCCGCATCAAGGCCACCTCTTCGTCTGCTATCATGACCTTTTACTCAGTTTCTGGCCCTTTGACTTGCATTGCCTGACTCTGGTGCCTGTGGGTTTCTGGTTCCTATCTGCTGACTTGTTTTTAACCCACACGCTTCATCTTGGCTCCTGATATGCATCTGACTCCTGACTTCTCATTTGGCTTCTGAGCCATATTGGCCTTTCCAATTCCCAGCCCCTTCCTGTAAAACTTAGATTTGTTTTATCTTTCAGTCTGGCTTCCTATCCTGGTCCTGGAATGTCTCATCAGCTCCAGTCCTGACCCCGCTGAGATATTCGATATCATTAAGTAGCCAGGACTGTGGACTGTGGAATAAACAAGAGGACTCTAGAAGGAGTTGACCATCTCACATCACCATCTAGCATCTGGCAAAATTCCCATGGTCTTTTTGATCATGGAGTTCCTTTTATATATAATAAGAGTCCAAAGAATGCTTGAATGGAAGAAATCTTTTATAATCAAGGGACGATAATTTTTATTATTTCAAGTTGTTGAGCTAGTTATGCTTGTATAAATTATAACATAGTGTTCTAAATTTATATTGAGTTCCTGTGATGCCCTGAAACTGGGCTCAGTCTACCTCTCAGGAGAAGGCCAGACATGTTCTTGTGATGTTGGATATTTGACAGAGAGTGATAATTTCTGGGTGATAATTTCTAATGCTTCTTCCTTATTCTAAAAGGGAACAAAAGTCAGTTTTCCACAGAACCTAGATTTTCGAAGTCACTTTACCCGTTTGAAATCCCAATTTATCTCAATAGGCTATTATTAAAGGAAGGAGAATACCCCATCCAAGATATCTATCCCAAATCAATATCCTTGGTTGGGAAAACAAAATTCAATATCTGATCCCAGCAAAGCTCTGGCACTAGCGCTTGCAGGGTTGGGGAGAGCATATAACCATGGGTAATTTCTTGGGCCATAAACCCAAGATTAATTTTTCACAATTTTTTTTGGAATACATTGAAGCATCTGCAGGTTAAGATAGGGTAGGCTCTCAAATAGCAGTTCTCTCAGACCACTGCTCTTAAGAACTCACATTGAGTTTATTTCTAAAATTATACTGATTATGACAGATAAGTCGATGAGTCAATGTCATCTCTTAGAGCTCATGATGTCTTAAAGGCATGTTGTCAACCACATTTCTAACCAAAATCAAGCAATTTTAGGTGTGGCTCTTAAAGTAGTTGATTTCCACAATGTCACACTTTACACTGCATTGGTAGCTGCTTTTTGAGCTTCAGGATTTGGTGGGGTTGGAATGCTGACCTCAGGAAGGATTTGGGACAGTGCTTGGCAACCCCATACACATCAGTTGTTCTTTCCCATCATCAACTTGGCATTGCCTGGACCAACAACAGAGCAATATTTCCGGTTTATGATGAGTTCCTATGGTGTTCTTTGAAATCCTAAGTAAAGATTTCCTCCCATTGTATAACTCAAGAAGCCTAATAAAATATGTGTTTGGCATTCTGTTTCTGGAAATTTCTTTTAGGTGTTCTAGAGTTGTTTGAGTGACAGTTAGTGCTGGATGATGCCATAGAGGCCACAAACCAAGTCTTTGTGACAATAAAACACATCCTATAGGAACAGAGGCAAAGATAAGCAGGCAACTCTCAGACAGATGCAGCAACAACTCTAAGGATCTATCACTCAGACAACCAAGGTCATGGAGAGCAGAATAGAAACTCCAAGAAAACAGTCCCCGATAAACCAGTGCAGTGACTGGAAGTGCATCTGGCCATGTGAAGGGCTTTGGAGGCCTCCAGGTGAGATAAGGCAAGTAATCAACACATCCAGGTAATTTATTAGCAGTTCTGCCTTTGGGCTGAGGCTTGGAAACCTGCCTGCTGTGATGTATGAAGCCAGCTAACCTGAGGGAATTTGGCCAGAGAAGACAATAGCAAAGTGGAGTCTGCTTGAAACTGACAAGAGTGGCCACCTGTACCTGTAAAGGAAACATCTTTCCCAGTGAAGGCACACCTTGACTACAAACTGCTGGTATAAAGGGTAGTCATGGCCTCCAGATAGGACAGCAGGGTATTTCCTACCTTCTCTCAGTCTTGCTGAGTAGTTCTTACAGACAGATGCTCTCAAAAGCTGCAAAATGGGTCTAATGGCTTTAGTAAGGCTTCATCAATATAGGCCAAACAGACGTTGACTAACTCACACCACCATCTCACTTAACCCACACAGACTATACAGTATATCACTCACCACATTGTTCATCCCACACTCACTCTGTACATTTCTTACTGCCCTACCTAAGCTCACACTGGTAGCACATGCCCTTCACCATCTCAATGATTTCACATCCACTTTGCACTGAGCTCAGTTGAAGTCACACAACCCAGCTTATTGACCTCACACAGATTATGTATTATTGTGAAAACATTTGCTTTTCAGTCACCCAATATTTATTTTCCCATATTTTTAGAAACAAACCCTGGTTTTATTCAAGGTGGTGCTATGTGCAGGTAAGAGACTACATTTCCCAGCCTCGCCTACAGTTACATTTGGTTATATAATGAAGCCTGGCCAACGAGATTTATTGATTTTTATTTTATTTTGTTTTTGAGAGAGAGAGGGGAAGGGTGAGGGGAAAGAGAAAGAGGAAGGGAGAGAGAGAGAGAGAGAGAGAGAGAGAGATCATTGAGAGAAAAGCATCCATCAGCTGGCTCTTACATGTCTCCTACTGGGGATGGAGCCTGCAACTGTGGCATGTGCCTGACCAGGAATTGAGCCAGTGACCTCCAGGTGCATGGGACAATGCTCAACCAACTGAGCCACGCTGGCCCGGGATGACCAATGAGATTTAGACAAAAGTTGTTGCCTTGGCTGGTATGCCTCACTGGTTAGAGCATGTGTTCACACACCAAAGGGTTTTAGGTTTGATTCCCAGTCAAGGGTACATACCCAGGTTGCAGGTTTGATCTCTGGTCCTGGTTGGGGTACATGTGGGAGGCAACAGATCTCTCTCTCTCTTTCTCTCTCCACTCCCTCCCTCCCTCCCACTCTCTAAAATCAATGGAAAAACTATCCTCAGCTGAGGATTAACAAAAATAAAATAATGCCCAGCCACGGTGGCTCAGTGGTTGAGCTTCGACCTATGAACCAGGAAGTCACAGTTCGATTCCTGGTCAGGGCATATGCCCGGGTTGTGGGCTCGATCCCCAGTAAGGGGCGTGCAGGAGGCAGCTGATAGGTGATTCTCATCATTGATGTTTCCATTTCTCCCTTTCCCTTCCTCTCTGAAATCAATAAAAATATATTTAAAAAATAAAATAAACAAAAGTTGTGGGGTGGGACTTCTGGGAAGTTTCCTTGAAAGGGGAGAGAATGCTGGGATGTAATCTTTGCCCTTAGTCTTTATATCCCCCTTCCCCGCCCCCACTGTTTTCTAAACAGATTTGATGGTTTCAATTATCTTATGACTTTTAGAAGTCACCTAATAAGAATAGTTCATTCATTATTTAGAGGGGAAACACTCATTATACTTCCCAAAAGGCTGCATTAAAACACACACACACACACCAAACCCACAATCTTGCCTTGCATCTTTCTCCCTAAAAACCCAGAAGAAAGAAAAACTCAAAATAGGAGGATTGCAACTGGAAAGCAGGAGGTGGGAACATGGGCATATACTAGTACTGCTCAGTACAGGAGTATGATGTGAATGGTGCCCCCAAGAGGCGCAAAGCAGTGGCCCTGGCTTATTCCCACCTTCACCATCTCAGATGCTGCCAGAGTCTTTGGGGGATGGCTATGATGAAACTCTTCCAGTTTATCCTTTTTCCTTTGGAAAAAGCCCCTTCCTTAGGCTTTAGCATGATGGAGCAGGAGGATGGGATCCTCTGGGAGGACAAGTATCCAGGTAAATGATTCCTTTACCAAAGACTCTTTTTATTTAAAAAAAATACATATTTTTATTGATTTCAGAGAGGAAGGGAAAGGCAGAGAGAGATGGAAACAACATCAGTGACAGAGGATCATTGATCAGCTGCCTCCTGCACACCCTACCCTGGGGATCAAGCTCGCAACCCAGGCATGTGCCCTGATGGGGAATTGAACCGTGACCTCGTGGTTTATAGGTCGACGTTCAACCACTGAGCCATGGTGGCTGGGATACCAAAGACTCTAGGATGTACAAAGTAAGATTGAAAAGGGTGTGATTGAAATCTCTAGATAGAAAGTGGTTACCTAGACATCAAAATTACTGTTTTCTGCTCCATCAGAACTAGGAGGCATGACTTAAAACTCTTACGCAGTTGATTTAGGATAAAAAGGAAAAGAAATTATTTTAAACAAGAGGTTCTTGGGTGTCTAGATCTATGCTTCTAAAGGCCTCTGACCTTCTTAAATAGTTGACTACTCAGAAGAACTAGAGGATATATTTACATAACTGCCTTCATGAGTGTCTTGATGATCAGCTGTGACTGGCAGGTGGCCTATGAATTTTTTTGCAGCTTCAAGATTGTCCCTCAGATTTGGGGATTAGAGGAGTCACATGTGTGTCATGGCCACCCCCTCACTGAAGTGTTTATAGATCTGGGACTGGCAATCACACAGTTAGTTATCTCGCTAAAACTAATCCATGTTAATTTTTCAGTGATGGATTTCCTGCCTCGTAGTAAAGAACCTGTTGCTTCAGGTCTTCATTCTTTCCAATCTGTCCCATGTTGTGACTTGCTGGTAGGGACAGTTCACTGACCCCGTTTGTGTCAGCTTCACCATGTGTAAAATGAAGGCAAAAGCATGCCCCGAGGACAAGCAACTCACTTGAATCACAAACTAGTCAGTGGCAGAATCCAGGCCTGCAGGCGGGGTCTCCTGATCCCCTCCTCACATCTTCCCCTGTGACTCCAATAACTCACAGCGTGTTGTGAACAACGGACTAGGTAATATGCTGAAAGGCATGAATGCTCTAAAAAGTGACATGAAGATCTTTGTGATGATTGCTAGGGACTCATGCTCCCCAACAGTCGCTGTGACAGAGTGAGGCGTCGGCTGTTAGAGAAAGTGAGTTTCCTTCGCTGTTTTGTTTCTGTAACAAACCTCAGGGGAATGAATGGCTTTTAGACTTTTTAAAGAGCCTATTAATGAGGTTTCCAATTGCACTTGACAAAGCCTCTGTTGTCCCGTCCCAGTGTCTGAGTCTTCTCTGATCTCACTGTCAGCTAGAGTTATTCTCCTCTGCCCCAGGCACCACACTGACACTATCGTCCCCTTTAGGAATGCCACCTCTTGTGTCTGTGTGTGTCCCTGTCAAGAGTCATGGAATTCCTGTGTTCTTATCTCATATCTATCTGGCTCGGAGCCACACTCAGATATTCTTGTGCTGCACATGGATGAACCATCTAGTGAGGAAGATCCTGAAGAAAGAATGTTTGGAGGAGACAGAGGCAAAGATGACTTTAGAGCAGATGCAGGGTTTCTTCAGTCGGGACTTTATTAAAAACCAGTCTTTGGAGGGAGTTGAAGGCGACACACATGTCTGAGACCTTTAGTCCTACTGTCCTGGCCTGTGGGTGCTGCTGTGTAAGGTGCACAGTGGTATTCCCCAAGCCCCAGCTGTGGTCCTGTTAGAGGGCACAGTCCTCCTGGTGCCTCCTGGAGACTGCTTCTCCCACTTCTGTCTCAGCTTCTGGTGCCATACTACGGGCATTACACTGAGTGGCTTGCTCTCCCTTCTCTCTGTGACCCAAGGACACTTGAGAAAATCTAAGAGAGTTCTTGAAAGAAATAAGCTTCTATAAGAGGATTTGGTTACCAGAAATATTAGAATTATAGGTTCTTAAATATTGAAGATGGCCTAAGAAACCTTATAGATCAAAGTTTTTATTTTATATATGAGGTCACTGAGGCCCAGAGAGATTAAGTAATTTGTTCAAATGTTTGTAGTACAATAGTATCTGTGTTAGGAGAATCATGCTACTTTACTGAATTTATGTATTAGTTGTAGTATCTTTAAGGTTCTCCAAACTACCAATGTCTTAACAACAGCATCACAATAATTTCTGAGTAACAGTCCATTCTTGTGAACCAGAACATGACACTGGGTGCAAATTTGCGCTCTTTATTTTATAACTTTACCTGCTAGTTGAATATATTTAAGTTACATTCTTAAGTAAATTTTATTGCTAAGATTTTCATCTGCAGCTCTTGGGTACACATAGCCTTGGAAATAAGCCCAGTAGCACATTGCCCAGTTGCAAAGGAAAACAGTCAGCAGAGATCAAGATGAAGGAAATGTGCCCTTCCTATTCGCTTCCTTTCCGGACTTTCATAAAAACTCATGTTTATGAATAATAAAAGGAGGAGGAGGAGGAGAAAGGGGAGGGAGGAAGAAGAGAAGGAAGAGAAGATAGACATGGAGGTTCCTATGGGCACCTCCTTGGATTCTTTATTTATTAAGAAAGAAGACACTAGTAGTTGGGACTATAAACAGAAAGAGAAATGAAAAGCACTGGGAAATGTGGACAAAGATACTGCAATTTATTTGTGCATTTTTGAGACCCTGATCTTATTTCCAAGGCTATGTGTACCCAAGAGCTGCAGATGAAAATCTTAGCAATAAAATTTACTTAAGAATGTAACTTAAATATATTCAACTAGCAGGTAAAGTTATAAAATAAAGAGCGCAAATTTGCACCCAGTGTCATGTTCTGGTTCACAAAAATGGATTGTTACTCAGAAATTATTGTGATGCTGTTGTTAAGACATTGGTAGTTTGGAGAACCTTAAAGATCCCACCAAAAAACTACTACAACTGATACATAAATTCAGTAAAGTAGCAGGATACAAAATAAATACCCATAAATCAGTTGCATTTCTATACACCAATAATGACCTATCAGAAAGGGAAACTAAGAAAACAATCCCATTTAAAATTCCATCAAAAATAAATATCTAGGAATACATTTAACCAAGAAGGTAAAACACATGTACTCAGAAAATTCTGACATTGAAGAAAGAAATTGAAGAAGATACAAATAGGTGGAAGCATATACCGTGTTCATTGATAGAATGAATTAACATCATTAAAATGTCCATACTGCCCAAAGCAATCTAAAGATTCAACACAATTCCTATCAAGATACCAATGGCATATTTCATAGAACTAGAACAAATATTCCAAAAATGTATATGGAACCACAGCAATCTTGAGAAAGAAGGACAAAGTTGTAGGAATCATACTACCTGATATCAACCTATACTACAAGGCCATAATAATCAAAACAGCATAATACTGGCATAAAAATAGATATGTAGATCAATGGAACAGAATAGAGAGCCTAGAAATAAACCCACACCTTTATGTCAATGAATATTTGACAAAGGAGGCAAGAACATACAATGGGGTAAAGACAGTCCATTCAATAAATGCTATTGAGAAAATTGGACAGATACTTGCACAAAAATAAAACTAGACCACCAACTTACACCACACACAAGAATAAACTCAATACTTTAAGGGGAAAGCATTGGGTTGAATAAGAAAAATAAACTGTAAATCTTAAACTAAAAAGAATAAATGCAAAATGAATTAAAGACTTAAATATTAGGCTCAAAACCATAAAAAATCCTAGAAGAAAACATAGGCAGTAAAATCTCTGACATTTCTCTTAGCCATATTTTTTCTGATATATCTCCTCAGGCAAAAGAAACAAAAGAAAAGATAAACAAATGGGACTACATCAAATTAAAATGTTTTTTCACAGCAAAGGAAACCATAAACAAAATGAAAAGACAACTCACCGAATGGGAGAACATATTCATCAATGATAGGTCTGATAAGGTGTTAATATAAAAAATTTATAAACAAGTTATAAAACTCAACACGAAAAACACTTAACAATCCAATTAAAAAATGGGCAAAGAACCTGAAAAGACACCTCTCCAAAGAGGACACACAGATGGCCAATAGTCATATGAAAAGATGCTCAACATCACTAATCACTAGAGAAATGCAAATTAAAACCTCAATGAGACATCACCTCACACCTGTCAGAATGGCTGTCACCACTAAGTCAACAAACAAGTGTTGGTGAGGATGTGGACAAAGGGGAACCCTGTGCACTGTTGGTGGGAATGCAAATTAGTGCAGCCACTGTGGAAAGCAGTATGGAGGTTCCTCAAAAAATTAAAAAATGGAACTGCCTTATGACCCAGCAATTCCACTTGTAGGTATTTATTCCAAGAAACCCAAAACACTAATTTGAAAGAATATATACATCTCTATGTTCATTGCAGTATTATTTACAATTTCCAAGCTATGGGAGCCACACAAGTGCCCATCAGTAGTGGATAAAAAAGCAGCAGTAACACAGAAGTATATCTTACCCTTTGAGACAGCATGGAAGGACCTGGAGAGTAGTATGCTTAGTGAAATAAGCCAGTCAGAGAAAGACAAGTACCAGATGCTTTCTTTTATATGTGAAATCTAATGAACAAAATAACCTTCCAAACAAAATAGAAACAGACACATAGATACAGAGGACAGACTGACAACTATGAGAGGAGAGGAGGTTGAGGGGCTGGGTGAAAAAAGTGAAGGGATTAAGCAAAAAAAAAAAAAAAAACAACCCACAAAGATTCATAGACACAGACAACTTGATGGTGATTATCAGAGGGAAAGAACAGTGAGGGAGGTAGAAGAGGGTATAGGGGGGATTAAATTTTGTTGGAAGGAGACTTGACTTGGGGTGGTGAACACACAATACAATACACAGATGATGTCTTATAGAATTGTACACCTGAAACCTATGTAATTTTATTAATGCCACCCTAATAAATTCAATAAACAAAAACTAAATAGAGACTTGGAGATTACCCACTTGAATTGGTTAAAAGTAAGGACTCTATTTTGAATAT